ACAGGGCCAGGTCGTCTTCAGCCAATCAGGCACTTCGGATCTCTGAAGCTCTTTTGCCAACAAACTCTCTTCCATTTGCTTTTCTGACCCACAAGCTTCAACTATTTCTCCCTCAGATCCAGAAATTTTTCAACTCTGCAAGGTGCTGGTACTTTGTTGGGGATTTCCCCTTCTGGCTCCAGTTTCTAGAAGAAGCCTCCAGGCAGAAGGTCAAGTATACCACACCTCCTTTGCTTCCTTCCACCCAGGAGACAGCTGCTTTTATATTTGTTCAGAGTTTTGATGGTTGATAGATCAACACAGTTCCTTTTATCTCATCTTAGTGAGAAGCAACACCTCTTTTTGTACAAGACCAGCACAGATGCCACGTTTTGCAAGAATTTCCCTCCCCAAATATTCAATCCAGATGTGCTTTCCATCCCTCTAGCTCTTTGCTGGCTTCTAGATACTTGGGAAGTAGAGGAATAAAACTGGGTTGCTGCCCTCAGAGTTCTTATAGTTAAAAGGGAAACCCAGAAACAGGTCACAACCAGTGGAATTGTACAGGATTGCAAGAGGCACTGGGTAACGTAGAGAAACATGGTCAAAACCATTTGGGGAGATCAGAAAAGGTTTTTACAGAATAATGTTTAAAGACTAAGAGAGAGGGCCTGGCGTGGTAGCCCAGCAACTAAAATCCTCACCTTGCACATGCCAGAATCCCACGTGGATGCCAGTTCTTGTCCTGGTGACCCCACTTCCCACCCAGCTCCCTGCTGGTGAACTGGGAAAGTAGTCGAGGATGGCCCAAAGTCTGGGGACCCTGCACCCGTGTGGTTGACCCAGAAGAGGCTCTGGGTTCCTGGCTTTGGATGGACTCAGCTCTAGCCATTGTAGCCACTTGGAGAGTGAATCAGTGGATGGAAGATTTTCTTCTGTCTCTCTCCTCCTCTCTGTAGATTTGACTTTGCAATAAAAATAAATAAATCTTAAAAAAAAAAGACTGAGAAAGAGATTAAGAGACAGTATAGGACACTAGGGACAAAAGAAATCCTGTATGCAGTTTAAACTTTGGTGTTTGAAGCAATACAGGAGTTTGGAAGAATGACTAATAGTCCTCAACACTGCCAGTACAGAATTTGAAGCTGGGAGAGGCCAGAGGTAAGGGTGTGAAGATTAACAAACAAAAAATGGAAACAAAGTATCAGGAGGACTGGATCAGGATCACGAAGGCCAGCTCTGAATGTTCTGTTGGATACCACCAGCATCCCTGATGTGTCACTGTCACCACTGATGGCACTCGAACTTTACACAGACCCCACCCGCTCATCCAATTCCCACTACACCTGCACGTGGAAATCAGGGACAGGGAACTGAGTCATCTTTCCCAAGACCAACAAGGAGAATTTAACTTAAATCTATAGGCAATGGAAAACCACGGAAGGGTTGATTTTGCCTTTAGAAGCTTTTCTTCTTGGGGCTGGCATTGTGGCATAGTCAGTTAAGCCTCTGTCTGTTGGGGCGGGGGAGTTGGCATTACATATGATCCAACTTCCCATTTACAGCCTGGGAAAGCAGTGAAAGATGGCCCAAGTCCTTGAGCTCCTGCTCTCACATGGGAGACCTGAAAGAAGTTCCTGGCTCCTCGCTTTGGATCTGCCCAGTTCCAGCCACTGTACTATTTGGGGGAGTAAACCAGCAGATGGAAGATGTCTTTCTCTCTGTAAAATCTTCCTTTCCAATCTAAAAAAATATTGGAAAAAAACCTTTTTTCCTTCATTTACTTTTATTTACAGCATTTTAAAAAGACTTATTTATTTTTATTGGAAAGGTAGACTTACAGAGAGAGAAGGAGAAACAGAAAGATCTTCCATCCACTAGTTTACTCCCCATGGGGCCACAATGGCCGGAACAGCTGATCCAAAGCCAGGAGCTTCTTCTGGTTCTCCCACGTGGGTGCAGGGTCCCAAAGCTTTAGCCATTCTCCACTGTTTTCCCAGGCATTTAAGTAGGGAACCGCACAGGAAACAGAGCAGCCGGGACACAAACTGGCACCCATCTAGGATGCCGGTACTTGCAAGTGGAGGATTAGCCGGTTCAGCCATTGAGCCATCCCCCATTCCCTGTACCTGGTGAGACCATTGGCTTTTCTAGAAAGGTCACTCTTGTGCTTGAGGAAGGGCCAGGGGGTGTGGCCTGAGTCAGATGAAACAGGAAAAAACCAAAATCATACAAACAAAAACAAGCAAACAAAAAAATCGTACTCAAACCAGGAGGCTTTTAGAAAGAAAAGACCAAAGGACGCCAATCTGCAAATAATCAGGATCCGGAATCTGTCTGACGGAGTACAAGCACCTGCGCCGAGACAGAGGCTGGTCAGGCTCACTGTGAAGCGCCAGGTCTGAGTGTGGGAGACATGGAGATGAGCAGGACATGATGCTGCCCCCTGACACCTTGACTGCTCACCCGGCACAGCAATGCCACGGACCTGCCAGCTAGGGATTCCCTCCCCACCTACTGCTACCCTGGAGATCCTCAATGAGGCTCCAGCCCCGATACTGGAGACCCACTGCCACACAACATCCTGACCCTGCCTGCTGGAAACCAGCTTGCAGCCCAGGAGCCCCCCATCCATGAAGACTGTGACAGCCAGGATGTGGAGGGTACTAACTACCCCCAACTTGGCCTGTAATTATCAACAACAATTTTATTAAAAACAAATGCAGGTATCCTTCTTCAAACGCCAACCACAGGCAGGCACTGCGCCAAGTATTTGATGGACATTAACAGTGTTGTTTGCCACAGTGGTCCTAAAAGCAGGCCTCGTATTTCTCTTTTAATGTGGGAAACTGAGGCTCAAAGAGAGAAAAGAACTTGCTTAAGATACTTGGGTTCCCTCAGGCCACCCCACCATTCATCATTAAAAAAGTATCCTGGAATTTGCTACCTTCAGGAAGCTTCCACTGTCCTCCCTCAAAGTTTGCTGCTCTCTGTCCTGGGCCCTTCTGGGTCAGTGTCCTGTTCCCCTGGGGTCTCTGGGAAACACCCTTCAAAGATGGGTTCCTCTTGGCTGCCTGGTGCCTGAACATGACCAGCACAGTGCAGAGGGACCGCTGTGAGTCCGCTGCCTATGCTGTCACTCATTCTGTGTAGTCCTGGGGGCGCTGGCCCCTTCCTGCACCTGACACACTTCAGGTTCACATCCCATATTCACTTGGCAGATTCAAGGACCACAACTAAGACACCTGTCTCATCCAAATGGATACAGATGCTTCAACTCTGGTGTCCTGATGTTAATGGTCACTGGCTTAAGGGTGGAGACCTGCTCCCCATCACAAGTGGCGAGTCACTGGACGGTAGATTATTATCTTGAGCTCGAGTTTGGCCTAGCTCTCTTCTCTTTCCTGGCTCGCCAAACAATCAGGCCTCTGTCCCTGGCATGACCAGCCTCCATGGATGCCGGATCCTGAGCTGTAATCCCCAGTTCGTGAGCTGAGGTGGTAAGCCTTTTCTTCTCCCCGGGAAGCTCTCTCAGCTGTCTCAGTCACAGTAAGGGAAAGCGCATTAATACAGAATTCAAGGCTTAAGCAGGTGCTTTGTGTGCTGAAGAGAAACAGATGTGGGTTCTTCCGATTCCTTGGACCAAAAGAATTCCTGTGCCCTATCCTGACATAATTACCAGCACTCCTCGCACCTGTAAGTCTTCTCTACCCCTGTCATCTCTCGCTGCCTCTGTGCAGGCCAGAGGCGGTACAAGCTTTGTATCATCCAAAAGGGTTCTCATCTCAGCCGTGCCCCCACCCCCACCACCAGCCATGGAATTTGTGGCAGGCGCATGCACAGTGAGTTCTGTCATCCCTGCAGCTGGGTGGGGGAAAGCCCTTCTATAGAGGATGCTCGTTGCATGAGATACAGACGTGAGGCACCTACAAACGTGGCAGTAACCAGGACTGTGTGCTCCCACAGTCAGGCCCAGGGGTTGGCTTTACCAGCCACCAGCTCTGTGGATAAAGTTGGGGGTGGGTGATCCTCAGAGCGCTATGAAAGCTGAGGAAGGGGCCAGGGACCAGGGGCCCAATTTTGCACTGTGAGTATAGTAAGTTAGTGAATGCTAGCCATTTGTCAAGGACACAAATAATGAGACATCCCTAGAGCACCTGGTAGCACTCCCACAATAACACCAGAGGAGATCTTGTTGAAGGCCCTTCACAAAGAAACAGTGATCCCTTCCACTGGACACACACTGCATGGGCTCCCACTAATAACACACACCAGTGCCCACTGCATCTAACACACCGTACACCCCCCATGCCACAAGTCTGGCCCTGCATCACACCATCCGGCCAGGAACATCAGCTTTCAACCTCAACTTTAAGACCATCACAGATCTGGCAGGCAGAGCCATGGAGGGCAACCCAGAAACGTCCAGACCACCATGGTCTGGGAGGCCCCATCATCGCGATCTGTGGGGGCCACAGTGGACGGAGGGGTGGCGCAGGGGGGAAATGGGAAGGAGGGACAGCAGGTGTATGCCAGCAGCTAGCTGCCCGCTGGGTAGTTCGAACTAGTTGGATGTTAGCATGACAGCAACCAGCTCCTTTCCTCCACCTGGCAGGGCTCTCACTTGGTCTAGATCTCAGACAACGGCCAGAGCTCCCGAGGACATGCAGCCCCAGAGGGGATAAGAGTCTAGATTTGCAGAAGCCGGAATTGGTCATATCCAGAAACTCCCCACCACTTCTGGGATGTTACTTGGGGCAGCCCTCCCATGGCCATGTGGTAGGGTGGAGTGGGGAGGCAAGAGCACCAGGCTCGCACGGGAAGAGGGGCTGCTGGGCCTTGGTGTGGCGTCCCCAGCTTGTAGAGGTCAGTACCCAGGGCCCAACAGCACTCCAGGAAGAGCCACCTCTGTATCCTCTGCACAGAGACGGCAGGCCCCAGGGGCAATAGCTGCAGCTCTCCTCCCCCGCCCCTGATCCCAGCCAGGTGGGGCTGCAGGACCCTGCGAGGCCGTTACCCACCACATCGTTTGGGAGGCTCTGGAGGTCATCGAAGGGAGTTTCCAAGGTGTTGGTGTCCACGTTCAGGATCACGACATCGTCCAGGGCCATGTTTCTGACTTTCTGCAGGACAAACAAAAAATCCAGCAGGTCACTGGTGGAACATCCGCAAACAGACTACTGCACCCACCCCAGCTTCCCCTGGGAAGACCGGCCCACCTCTGCCTCCCCCTGTGGCAGGCCTGGAGCTGGGGGTTTGCCTTTGCCAGCTCACTGCCTTCCCATAAAGCCCTGGATCCCAGCCCGGCTCACTCAGCTGGGAGAGAGGAGAGTTCTTTTGCCCCATTTCCCCCATCTTGAATTTTCCTGCTTAAAAAGCAATTTGTGACACTCACTGAGAGCTAAGCACTATGGTCTCAGGAACTCTGGGGTACAGCAGAACGCATAGGACCCCCAACTCCAATCCATACCTCTTATTTATCAAGGGTTACTTGCTTGATTCTTGGGGAGCCTGTCATTCTTGGGTATGGGATTTAGGGGGGTGGCCTGCTCTGAGCACGGTAACATCTCCCTGAAGCACGGAGGCGGGGCGGTCACATGTCGTATTTGGTTTAATTTTCTGTAAAACTCAATCCAGATCTCCCCTGCGGGTGGCAGGGGCCCCAGTACTTGAGCCATCACTGTTACCTCCCTGGGTCTACAGGAGGGAGGAGCTGGAGTTGGCAGCCAGCGCTGGGGATCAAAGCCAGGTCCCACGATGCAGGATGAGGGTGTCCTTACGGGTATCTGAACCACTGGGCCAAGCATTTGCTCCTGATTTTTAATCTTACTGCTTGTAGGCTGCTGGACTCCAGCCTCACTTTTGCCATGCCCACCCAATCCCATTAAATCCTCCTGCCCCAATCCCACTAAGTCCATTCCTTTTGAGTCTTAAATTCAGAACTTATTTATCATTTACTCTGTTGAACTAGAAAGACCTTGTCCAATCTGGGACATGTGTTGGGGTGAAAAAGGGCTTGTTAACATCATGGCAATAGGCAGCAACATGGGACATATGCCACCCTGTAAGCAAGGCGTCACTTTGATCATCAGTTGTCCCCGGAGCACATGCGTGTAGGTGAGCACCGCCCAAGGCTGCCCCGCTACCAGTGGCTTCAACTGATATGGAGGTGGGCACGTGCTTTGCCTAATCCATCCAGGAGCACGCTGAACAGGTTGGCTGTAGCCCTAGACTTCCGATGGCTGCTGATGGCCCCTGGGAATGAGCTGGGACCATGAAGGAGAAGTCTTGCTCTGTGCTTTGTTGAATTTAGCTCACTTGATTCTTTTTTTTTTTAAGATTAAAAAAATTTTTTTTTGTTGGAAATTCAGATATACAGAGAGGGAAGGAGAGACAGAGAGGAAGATCCTCCATCTGTTGATTTACTCCTCAAGCTGCTATGATGGCCAGAGCTGTGCCTGATCTGAAGCTAGGAGCCTGGAGCTTCTTCTGGGTCTCCCACGTGGGTGCAGGGTCCCAAGGCCTTGGGCCGTCCTTCACTGCTTTCCCAGGCCACAGGCAGGGAGCTGGATAAGAAGTGGGGCCGTCAGGATTAGGGCAGGTATCCAGATAGGATCCCAGCGCATGCAAGGCAAGGACTTTAGCTGCTAAGCTACCGCGCCTGGCCCAGACCACTTGATTCTTATTGAACCATGCAACCTGCATATTATCAGCACCATTGGGTGTTACTGGAGAAAAATGAAATCCAGAGAGGTGAGGTGAATGGCAGAGGTCACACAGCACTGGGTGCCTCCACGGCCTGTGCCCTTTGCATAGCACCAAGTGCTGCCTCGTTGTCAGACATGCTCGGGGAATGACCTCCACATGGTCCTCGTCACCAAACCCTGGCACCCCTGTGCCTGCCTTCTTCGGGGCGCCTTGCTCCTGGCCCATGCTGTGTAACCACCAGTGCTTAGGCAAAGCTTACTCACACTGGTGGTGCTCTTTCAAACAGCAGACTCTGAGAACCACAGAGTGGGCACAGAGTGGGCCAACATAGGTTTTCATTCTTCTCCGTACTTCAGGACGCGAACAAGTGGTACTGCAAAGCACTTGGGTTTTGCAAAGCACAATTCCCGTTTTACAGATGGGAATATCAAGCTTGAGGTGCCCAGCTCAGCAAACTAACAAGGGAAGTGCTGAGCAGGCAGTCAGCAGCAGGCGTGCTGTCACTGCTGTCCCTGATGCCACGCCATAAGAGCTCACGGAGCGCGACCTCTCACGGTTTCTCATTTCCCTCCATGGAACTGGAGGTGAGGTATTGTTACCCCTGCGTCAGAGTTGAGAAATAGGGGCCCTGACAAGTGAAGAAGCTTGCCCCATATTTGTCCTTCTACTGGCTTTATCTGTGCAACTGAAATAATGGCTGCCACCTCAGTTTCACTCACCCTCGCCCCTCTTGGCTGCTGTGAGATTGAGGGGGAGGGGACATAGGTATGCATGGTGCCTGGCGCACAGTAGGACTTCAGTAGCAGCGGTGGCTGTTGGGATCACTTTATGGTTTTTGTTTTTATTTTCATTTCTTTCTTTTTTTGTTGGGATGACTTTGCAAGACACACACCAAGCCAATGGCGACAGTGTCCCAAGGGCAGAATCTGCCCCTGCATGGTGATGGCATGGGCTGAGGCTGAGGAACAGGGGAGCAGGTCCTCAGAGCTGAGCTGGGGGCTGATGTACCCCAGGGATGCCTGTTGGCCTCATCTGAAGGGAAGGGGGCAGGAGGCAAGGGAAGAGAAACCTGGGGGCTGAGGGCCAGGCCCGCGGCTGTGCCCCTGCTCCCAGCAGGGTGCCTGCAGCACAGACCGGGCCCTGTGGCTCTCCTTGGCGCGGCTGCCCCTGGCTTTTGATTTCTTCCCACTCCTGACTGGAGGACTTGCCTGTTAAGCTGTATGGAGTGTTTACTTTTTCAACAATGGCAGCAGGCTGAAGAACAGGAAAAAAAAAAAACCTGGCCCCTTTTCCTGGATTACGGGCCAGGGTCCCCTTAGTAACCAAAATGTCCCAAGCACCAGGCTCCGGGCGGGAGCTAGGTCGGCAGAGCTTCCTCCTAGGGGACAATGCTGCCCTCCCGGCTGCAAGGTCTCTCCCGAAGGGGCTGGCGTGGGCTCAAGGGTCTTCCTGCAGCTCAGCGTTCCCAAGAAACAGAGGCCAGCTCGGCCGGATGGTGCCCTGTGCCCCAAGGGCTCCAGGCAACGAGGGGGGAAGAAAGATGTGTGAGAACCACTCCTGCTTGGGAGCTGGGGGCAGCCCTGGTGGAGCAGAAAACTGGGCTGGCTGGCAGCTCTTCCACCCCTCACCAGGCCATGAGGACAACACTAGCGCCTCCCGGACAAATGAGGAGTGAGGCTCAGAGAGGTCAAAGACACGAGAACAAACCACGCAGTTCACACGTGCACGCCTAGCCCTGAGCACCACCAGGCTCCAGAGCTTGGGGAACGCGGTTCCACTAACACACAGGCTTCCTCTGACACCAAAATCACACTTTCCTTTTGTCTCTAAAAATTCTCACTGCTTCCTCCAGCAACACGGAAGAGGCAGAAAGGCTCACAGAATCTCAGGCACCCCGATCGCTCCTTTTGGAGACCAGGTTTTGGTCTATTTCCTTCCATGTTCCCCCCTCTTTGCTTTCTGAGACATAGCAGCAATGGTCCCTAATGCTTCTTTCCCGTTTCCTCGCTGATTACGACACAGGCAAGGGCGCTTGCTCTTCGTTAGCGGTGCTGTTAAGACGGTCACTAATTGCATGAAGCCAGCCCTGCGGTTGGCTGGCATTTCTAGTCTGCAGGAAATGACTGCACGGGATTGCTGTCGCGAGGGCCGTGGGTACAAAGCTTCCCGGCTTTCAGGATGGATTCCTCGAAGTGGAATTTTCGCTTCCACTTCTTCAAAAGTGTCCCTCTCCAATTCGACTTTGAGAGGCGATATCTTTACTTCCAATTATTTTAAAGTCATTTTATCCACAGCTTGTGTTTCCTCCTCTAAGTGAAGAAAAATCAGCAAAGACACGAGCAGATGTCAAAATAGTCCTCCAAAAATCCTCCCCAATTAAAACACTCACTAGGCCCACAGCTCACCGCGACAGCTCCCCGGTAGCTTGTCCCACCAACACATTCCCTCTCTTTTTAGTTACAACATATGCCAAAGCTCCTGCCAGCTGCAGACCCTGCCCCCACCACACGCTAGAGGCATTTTCTCAGAATGAGGGGGGGAAAATACTGACATGCACACCGGCTTTCCAAATGGCATTCCTCACACACTCCAGAAAAATGACATCTTCCCATAAACACTCTTCATCAAAAATACCTTTCTCTCTTTGCTTCCCACCCTGAGGTCGTGGCTCGACCTCTGCCTTTGAGACCAGTAGAAGAGGAGGAGGTGTAACAGCAGCACCTCACGAGATACCAGTCCCCAAACTCAGGCCAGACCCACAGGGGGCTTGGCCCTTACAGGCAGGGGCCAGGCCCATGCATCCTCCAAGTTGTCACCTGTAGAGGGTAGATCATGACAGCACCGGCTTTATAGTAACGGGGAGCCTTAGTCGAGCAAACGGACCGGTGAGGTTTCCCATGATCCCCAGCACATCCCTACTAGGCACTCAACAAAGAAGGTCTCACTCATCTCCCTGTGCCCACCCCTCTGTTCCTGCAAGGCAGCTCCCTCCCCAGAGCCTCCCCAGCAGTTGGTTTCCCATGACATCTGCTCCATAGCCGCTTGGGGCTGCTGACGTGGGGACACGACTCCTCCCATGGTCTGAGGGCTTCTTGGGGGGCCAGAAGCCAGGGCTCAGTACTCTCAGCTCCCACTCCCCAGCCTCTGACTCAGCAGAGGCAACTTGTGAAAGAGAAAATGAATAAATGAATGAATGAGAGAAGTGGAAGTTTGCAGTAAAGAGCCGAACTCTGGGCACCTGGGATCCAAGAGGCTTGCTGTGCCTCAGTGTCTCTCCCCGAGTTTGCAAAGGTATGATGAGAGTGAATGAGCATTCCTCGAATATTCAGAGCTGCCTGGCCCATGGGAAGTGCAGGATGTTTGCTAAATAAACACAGAAGATTTTTCTAGGGTAAGAGAAATATTCTATGCCTTT